TGCAGTGCACTTGTGTGTTATGTTAACCAATGCACGACCTCAGGACTATGCCATTTAAAATAGAGAAAGAAAATGTAGTTAATTCATGTTGAAAACTTACAGCAGCAGAGGCACAAATCCAAAACGAGCAAACAGGGTTGTTTTCACACTCTGACCATCCGGGACACCCACTAGTGAAGGTATCTATGACAACAACATGCATATTTGCTTGGGTTAAAATGGGTTAAAATTGGGTTAAAATAAAACACAACAAAGGAAAGAAATCTCACAACATTACATAATGACACAGGACAGAAAAGAAAAAGAAAAAGTTAAGGCACATTTATGTTAGCTGTCCACCCTCAGCTGCTTAGACAGAGTGTTGACTCAAAATCTTCTCTGAGTAGCTCCAATGTAAATCACTTCTATAGTATGTTTGAATCAATTACTAAAGAATCAAACCTGAACATGCTGGTTTATTCAAAGCAATTTTTGCGTAATCGATTATTTCCAAAACTAGGAACAAAGTGAAACCTTTCACACCTCATAGGGAACACACCCCTGATGAGTAAGCTTATGGAGACATGTTTTAACAGAAACATAATTTCTATCTCGAAGATAAACTTATTTAAAAAAAAAAAAAGATAAATGATGCTTGTCTACATAGGATGTGTTTGCCGAATTTGCACTGAAACCAAAAGTAAAAAAAAGTCTTTATTTGGGTGTAACAACCTTGACTTTATTATTACTATTAACTGATTCATTTATTATTATATACATCATTGTGAGGTGGCCGAGCATCTTACAACAGTTTCTGTGCCATTTCTGGTGAGCTGAGCTTAAACTATTAGCAAAAGTTTATTTGGGGAAAAAGTGCTATTAATCAACCTTAATATCTTTGTTCTACTTTGGTTTTAATGAGTCTTTTTAAAAAGAGGAAGCTAGAAAGATGCTCTGCTGACAGAAAGTCTTGTAGAATTCTTTGTTTCTGTTTAACGTTACAAGGTTTCTTGATCATTCACAAGCGATAGCGTTTGTCCTTCTCAGAACAAGTGAGGGCATGAACACCACAGTTAAAGGTTTATCTGATCTGTGTGTGAGTGTAGTCTGCATGTTGCAAGTTTACGAAATTCTCCTTAAATGTCAGGGCTCAAAAACCTTGACATGACTTGACTTGCTGTTGGTATGTAAATTTAACAACAGGCCATACAAATAACAAATCATGTCTGGCACGACAAATTACATATATTTTTAGATTCTAGCATGACTTATATGAACTTCTGCTGGTCCTCTTTCGCTGGTGTGTAGTTTGTTGCACTGTTCAAATAATAAACTGTGATTTTTATCTGCTGCTTTGAGAGTGTTACCCTTGCTGCCTTCTTTTCCACACCACGTCAGACCATCCAGGACAGATCCCAACAGAGTGTCCTCCAAAGTGACAAAACAATCCTTTCTCTTGTCAGTGAAACCGTGGACCACATCCTTTGTTTTGCTCCAGAACATTGTCTAACCCACAAACACTGCATTGTTAGACAGCTCATGAATGATTATGGCAGATGGGATGATTGAGATGGTGTAATCATCGATTATTACTTTGTTGCACTGAGGTTTGAAGGGGGCTGCAGCAATCAGGGGATCATAAGCTTCCACTAGAACTTTACATGGATCCTTGTCCACATAGGCCTGCTCAAAGACACCCCACAGCTTTTTACAGTCATATCTGAAAAACAAATAATGTTTGCTGATGTTTAGGTGTATTTTGATTTAAAGAAAGGCTAAGTATGTTAAATAGTGCAATGTATTTGATGTTAAAAAAAAAAACTAACGAAAAAAACTGGTGTCAACAAAACCAGATGATTAAAGATATTACTGAAAGAAGTTTATGGCAGGGTAACTGCCATGTGGTTAGACTGTGGACGCTGAATGTGCACCTGCTGATATCATATTGTGTAACAAGCAAAATTCAAATATCAAAAAAGGAAACAGGCAAAAACACCTGACGGATAAACTGCAGTTCACGTCTCATTTACTCAAGACACATTATCATTATGTCTATGTATTGTATGTGCAGTGGTATACATTACTATTAGATATTAACATCGTGCAAACCAGCTGACTGGATACAAAACAGCAGCAGCTCAATCATTGACTATAACTGATCAATACCAGA